AAGGAGACATCTTTGCTTTTCAACACCTTAAAGAGGTCTTTTGCAGCAGATTTTGCCCAAAGCAATGAGTCTTTTGATTTCTTGACTGCTGCTTCTATGGCCGTTGATTGTGGATCGAAGTAAAATGAAATCCTTGACAACTTCAATCTTTTCTCCTTTATCATGTTGCTTATTGGTCCAGTTGTGAGGTTTTTTGTTTTCTTTATGCTGTGGTGCAATCCATAGTGAAGGCTGTAGTCTTTGATCTTCATCAGTAAGTGCTTCAAATCCCCTTCACTTTCAGCAAGCAAGGTTGTGTCATCTGCATATCACAGGTTGTTAATAAGTCTTCCTCCAATCTTGATGCCTCGTTCTTCTTCATATATTCCAGCTTCTTGGATTAATTTTTCAGTATACAGACTGAATAGGTACGGTGAAAGGACACTTCCCTGATGCACACCTTTCCTGACTTTAAACTAGGTAGTATCCCCTGCTCTGTTCGAACAACTGCCTCTTGATCTGTGTACAGGTTCCTCATGAGCACAATTAAGTGTTCTGGAATTCCCATTCTTTGAAATATTATCCATAATTTGTGATGATCCACACAGTCGAATGCTTTAGCATAGTCAATAAAACACAGGTAAACATCTTTCTGGTATTCTCTCTTTCCAGCCAGGATCCATCAGACATCAGCAGTGCTATCCCTGGTTCCACATTCTCTTCTGAATCCGGCCTGAATTTCTGGCAGTTCTCTGTCAACATACTGCTGCAGCCACTTTTGCATGAACTTCAGCAAAATTTTACTTGTGTGTGATATTAATGATATTGTTCGATAATTTCCACATTCTGTTGAATCACCTTTCTTGGGAATAGGCATAAATATGGCTCTCTTCCAGTCGGTTGGCCAGGTAGCTGTCTTCCAAATTTCTTGGCATAGACGAGTGAGCACTTCCAGTGCTGCATCTGTTTGTTGAAACATCTCAATCGATATTCCGTCAATTGCTGGAGGCTGGTTTTTCACCAATGCCTTCAGTGTAGCTTGGGCTTTTCCTTCAGTACCATTGGTTCCTGATCATATGCTATCTCTTGAAATGGTTAAAGGTCAACCAATTCTTTTTGGTACAATGACTCTGTGCACTCCTTCCATCTTCTTTTGATGCTTGCTGTGTCATTTAATATTTTCCCCATAGAATCCTTCACTAATGCAACTCGAAGCTTGAATTTTTTCTTCAGTTCTTTCAGCTTGAGAAATGCCGAGCCTGTTCTTTCCTTTTGGTTTTCTATCTCCAGCTCTTTGCATATGTCATTATAATAATTTACTTTGTCTTCTCGAGCCACCCTTTGAAATCTTCTGTTCAGTTCTTTTACATCATCATTTCTTCCTTTTACTTTAGCTACTCCACGTTCAAGAGCAAGTTTCAGTCTCTTCTCACATCCATTTTGGTCTTTCTTTTTTTTCCTTCTTTTAAATGACCTTTTGCTTTCTTTATATGTGATGTCCTTGATGTCATTCCACAACTCATCTGGTCTCGGTCATTAGTGTTCAACGTGTCAAATCTACTCTTGAGACAGTGTTTAAATTCAGGTGGGATATACTCAAGGTTGTACTTTGGCTTTCTTGGACTTGTTCTAATTTTCTTTAGTTTCAACTTGAACTTGCAAATGAGCAATTGATGGTCTGTTCCACAGTTGGCCCCTGGCCTTATTCTGACTGATGATATTGAGCTTTTCCATCATCTCTTTCCACAGATGTAGGCAATTTGATTCCTGTGTATTCCCTCTGGCAAGGTCCACGTGTATAGTCGCCATTTATGTTGGTGAAAAACGGTATTTGCAATGAAGAAGTCGTTGGTCTCGCAAAATTCTATCATGCAATTTCAGGAATCATTTCTATCACCAAGGCCATATTTTCCAACTACCGATCCTTCTTTGTTTCCAGTTTTCAAATTCCAATCACCAGTAATTATCAATGCATCCTGATTACATGTTAGATCAATTTCAGACTGCAGAAGTTGGTAAAAATCTTCAGTTTCTTCATCTTTGGCCTTAGTGGCTGGTACCTAAATTTGAATAATAGTCATATTAACTGGTCTTCCTTGTAGGCGTATGGATATTATTTTATCACTGACAGTGCTGTACTTCTGGATAGATCTTGAAATGTTCTTTTTGACAATGAATGCAACGCCACTCCTCTTCAAGTTATCATTCTCGGCATAGTTGACCATATGGTTGTCCAATTCAAAATGGTCAATACGAGTCCATTTCAGCTCACTAATGCCTAGGATATTGATGCTTATGTGTTCTATTTGATTTTTGATGATTTCCACTTTTCCTAGATTCATACTTTGCACATTCACGTTTTAAATAATGTAATATGCAGTATTTAGTTTTAAATCTAATTATTACTCAATAATTTAGTTCTCAGTATTTCACCATGTTATCTTGTTTTATTTATTATATATGTAGTTTCTTATAGGAGCCCTGGTGGCACAGTGGTTAAGAGTACCACCTGCTAACTAAAAGGATGGCAGTTCGAATCCACCAGTTGCTCCTTGGAAACTGTATGGGGCAGTTGTACCCTATCCTATAGGGTCAGTATGAGTCGGAATGGACTTGACGGCAACAGGTTTTTTTTTAGTTTCCTATAGCAAAAAAATAAGTGTTATAAATAAGGAATCTTATTTTCCTAATATAAGTTTAATCTGAATGAAGAATATTCAGCTAATTGACCAGAAAAAAAAGCAAAATTTCAACTTGTTTTAGTTAAACCAATATTGTGAATTGCAGAAAATATGGAAAATTAATGCTAAAAATCAGATTTGAATCCAAGTCTGTTGCTAAATTCCTAAGTGTCATTGGATAAATCAATAATGCCATAGATTTTATTGGATATATAATAAGGATATTGGGTTATATCATCTCTATAATCCCTTCTACATCTAAATTTCATTATGTCGTATTTTGCAAGACAACTTTTGACTTGAAGTAGTTTTTAAAACCTTTATACATTAATTCAAAAGTTTAAAGATTAAACTATTAATTCATATTTTACACAAGTTTGCCTGACCAAAAAAAAAGAGAGAGACACCAACAGTTTTTAACAAAACATATTTACTTTTAAATTCAAGCCTTTACCATTTCTTGTTTAACTAACAGAGGTTAGTGTCTACTTATAAGATAACTAACCAGTTGCCTTGGAGTCAACTTTGACTCATGGCGACCCCATGTGTTTCAGAGTAGAACTGTGCTCCATTGGGTTTTCAATGGCTGATGTTTTAGAAGTAGATCACCAGAACTTTCTTCCAAGGCAACACTGGGTAGACTCAAACCTCCAGCCTCTTGGTTGGCAGGTGAGTGCATCAACTGAACCACACAGGTTCATACATAGAAGGAATCTTAAATTTCATTCAGCATCAATCTCCTCATTTTTCAGATAAATAAACTGAGGCTCGGAAAGGTTAAAAGTTTTACCCAAAGTCACACATTCAGTGTAATGAAGTAAGGTTCATTCATCAAATCACAAATTGCCAGGAATGTTTGTATTCCTATCCTTACTTTGAAATACTTTGCTGATGTAACTAAGGACCGGAAACCCTGGTGGCAAAGTGGTTAAGAGCTACAGCTGCTAACCAAAAGGTCAGCAGTTCAAATCTACCAGATGCTCCTTCGAAACTCTATGGGGCAATTTTACTCTGCCCTATGGGGTCGCTATGAGTCGGAATCAACTCAATGTTCTTTTTTTTTTGGTTAATAATTGACTTTGACACAAGCAAAAGAGCGATTATCATGGGTGGGTCTGACTAAATCAAGTGAGATCTTAAAAGAAGGTTTGGACCTCAGAGACAGAGAAGTCAGAAAGACACTCTGCTGCTGTGCTGGCCTTGAAGAAGGGAGATGCCATGTTGTGATGAGGGGAACATATGACTAGAATCTGACAGTGGTCTCTAGGAACTGAGACTGTCTCAGACAACAAACAATAAGAAAATGGGGCCTTACTCCTACAATTATAAGGAAATTAATTCGGCCAACAACCTGAGAACTTGGAGGACCCTGAGCTTCAAATGAGACCAGAGCTCCAGCCAACACCTTGATTTCTACCAGTTTAGAGCCTGAGCAAGAACATAGCTAATCTGGCCACAGAAACTGTGAGACAACAAGTTTGTGTTGTTTTAAGGTGCAATGTTTGTAGTAATGTGTCACATAGCAATAGAAATACAATACACTGCATTTTTGAGTTTATACAATGAAGAGAGACACACCAAAAATTTTATAAGAAAATTTAAGGCCTAACTGTGAGATTAAAAACTAAGTGGCTTTTTAAAAATATTTTTAATTTAAATAACAGTAAATATTTAAATAGCTCTTTCTAAGTATAGAAGCAAATCAGACATTAATTATGATTTACATAACACAAGCACAAACAAAGCAAAACAAAAGCACATAAGAAAAATGTGGCAAATTCATATTGATATTTACCTGAAATAGTTTTGAGGTAAAATATTGACATCCATCACAGTTGTTACATCCAAAGGAACAGGATTGAAAAATATAAATGGTGGATCAAACAATAACTTGGGTGATTTTACCTCTCCAGTAAGACATAACATTCTATAGCAAACTGGATTATCATTTAAAAGTATAGGAATATCCACTGCATATTTTCTAGGATGATCTAATGAAAAGGAAGGAAAGAAACAAAGGAAGGAAGGAAAGAAGGAAAAAAAAGTTTGATTAAATTCACACAAAAATTTACTTAATTTAAACAATACTATGTATTAAAATGTACTATGAAATTACAGCTCAGTGGAGCAGAATAGATTACCCAGAAACTGGGTAGAGGCTGCTGTAGAACTTAACATATGTAATGAGGTGCTATTGAAATAAAAATATTTTAAAGTGAAACCATGTCTACAGATAGAGCAAGTCACCTCAAAGTAGATTTTCATTATTATGACAAAAATAAATATATCCCAGGGAAGTAGTACAACTGCACTTCTACTTTTTTTTGTTTTCTGTGCCTTAACAGGAACTGTCCATCCCTTTAGTATATTCAGTATGAAGATAAGATCAGACAATTACTATAAGGAGCCCCAGGAACTTCTGAGAAAGCAATGTGCTGAGATGAAAGGAATTTGTTTTCACCCAGATTTTTAAGTTTAGAAAAGACTGCCAGGGTCGACGGGTCAATTTCACCTGGTAAGAAAAGACAGTAAATTCCCATGTGGCAACTTACTGTGAGGGAAAGGCAGTTTGTGTTGGAGAACAAGGCTCAACATAGAAGGCAGAAGACTGGTCTTGGAGGACAGGTTCCATCTCAGTAAGTGGCCAATGTTCTTTCAGATACAAATCCCCAAGCATGGTACCCCAGAAGGAGAAAAATGTGAGCTGGTAAATGTAAATTCAAGCTGAAATCTTAGAAACTGAAGACAGGACACAAATGTGGCCTGGCAGAGATCAGGGCCATCAAAGTTATTACCACAGAAGATGACAGCGCACTGGACCATGTAGGATCATGTTCAAAAGTAACATTGTGAGCCAGAAACAAAAGCAATAGATTCACTGAACTCATCAACTCCCCTAGTTTTCTCTGCAAGAAATGTTTTACTTGATCAAATAAGCCCTAAGATCCTTGGAAAATGGGAGTTGACTGGAGAAGGAAGGGAGAGAATGAAGAGGGAAATAATTAACTTCTTGCTAATAATGGTAAATGAGTACTGGAGAAAATATAAGAGATTGTATTTATACCTTGAGCTTATAAAATAAAATGAGTCATAGAGGAACTTATGTATTAAAACACATTACAAGTCTATAGAATGTCCACTCTCACTACTTGTACTGTAGGCAAAAAAAATAGGCAATTAAAGCAAACAAAAGGCATCCAGATTGGAAAGAAAGAAGTAAAACTATCTCTGTTCACAGAGAGAGAGCTTTCATTTAGAAAATTCTAAGAAATCTATCAAAAAATTATCAAAGCTAATAAATGAGATCAACAATGTTGCATATGTAAAAATGATATATAAGAATATATTTTAATTCTATTTGGTAATAATGAAAAATTGAAAAGTAAAATAAAGAAAATTTTATTTCAATAGCATCAAAAAGAATACAATACTAGGAAAAAATGAACAAAAGAATTGCAAGACTTGTACACTAAAAAGTAAAAAAATTTCATTGAAAGTTATCTTAAAATATCTAAGTAAATGGAAAGATATCCCATATACAGTAATTGGAAGATTTTAGAATTGTTAAGATGGCCATACACCATAAATTGATCTACAGATTCAACACAGCCTCTGTTGTTATGCATTTTTTTCTGAAATTGGCATGCTGATCCTAAATTTTTCATGTAAATGCAAGGAAACAAGAATGACCAAAACAATCTTGAAAAAGATGAAGAATGTTGGAGGACTCACACTTCCAGATTTCAAAATCTACTACTAAACTAAAGTTTTAAGACAGTGTGGTCCTGGCATGTAGATGGAATAGAATTGTGTGTCCAAAATAAACCTTTACTTTTATGGCCAATCGATTTTCGACAAGGGTGCCAAGACATTTCATAAGGAATAAATAGTTTTTTTTCAATAAATGGTACTGGGACAACTGGATATGACCATATAAAAGAATGAAGTGAGAGCCCTATCTCACACCATATACAAAATTAACTCAAAATGGATGACAGACTTACATATAAGAGTTAAATTTACATTTTAGCTAGAGGAAAACTTAGGAGTATATTTTCATTACCTTGGGTTATGTAATGTTTTCTTAGATATGATATTAAGAAAAAAGTCGATAAATTAGAATTCATCAAAATTAAAAACACTTTAGCTTCAGTGGACATAATTAAAAACTGAAAATACAAATCACGGCATGGGAGAAAATATTTTCAAATCATATATCTGATAAAGAACTTGTGTCCAGAATATATAGAGAACAATTATATTTCAACGTCAAAAAGACAAACAATCCAATTTAAAAATGAACAAAGGATTTGAATAGGCATTTCTCCAAAGACAATATACAAATGAATGATAAGCACATGAGATGATACTCAATACCCTTAGTCATTAGAGAAATGAAGATAATAACTACAATGAGATACTACTTCACACTCACCAAGATAGCTAAAATGAAAAAAGACAAAATATGAAGGGCTAGAGAGGATTTGGAGAAACTGGAATCTTCATTCTTTGTTGGACTCACCTAGCTCCCTCACTAACAAACCGTGGGTTGACAGTGGTTTCTTTCCTCTGTAGTCACACCTCCTGTCTGGTCTCTCCTACAGCTGCAGCTCAATATCCACATTTTGGTAGTTACCCTCTCCTTCAGCCTACGATTAGTAATGGTTCCCCTCTGATACTAGAATCAAGGTACTTCAGCATCATTGTTGACATCCCTTAGCCTTATGACAGATTATAAATAGTCCCTTAATTAAACTCTTCTCAATTCTTCACTTTTAAGTGTGTCATCTGTTTTCCCAGCTGTTAAAGTCATTCTGAAATACTATAAGCATTTCTTAGGATCAGGAACAAGTTAAGGATGCCTAATATCACAACAAGAAATCAACATTATTTTGGATATTCTACTAAATGCAATGAGACAAGGAGGAGGAGGAGGGAAAAAGAGATGGAGGAGGAAGACAAGGAAGTAGAGGAGGAGAAAAAGGCACAAACATCAGAAATGAGACATTTATTACTTATGACTGTAGGTTGATAAACTGTTTGCTTAGGAAACATTGCAGAATAATATTTGGAAAAAAAAAAAAACTTCTAGAACAATCAGAGAAATTCAGTTAGGAGCCAAAGAGTAAACAAAAATATAAATATATTCCTTTAATATAGCAATAGCTAGTTCAAAAGAATAATAGAAAAATCCCATTCACTAATACTAATGCATATCAAATAAAAATTTAATAACTAGACAAACATGCTATTCTTTGAAGGGGAAAATTCAATATATTCTTTTTTCTGAAAACTAAAAAAGGTAATCTACAGTTCATTTAAAAAAGTAAATGTGTTAGAATTGCTAAGAAAATTTTTTTAATAGATGTTTAATGGAAGACAACTTGTCATACCAATTATAAAGAAGTACTATAAAGTTGTTGTAATTTTTAAAAACGCCACAATAAAAATGGACAGACAGAGCAATAGACCTGCTGGTCAGCTTCCCCTAGAACAAGCAATCCAAGAGTACAAGCCAGATGCTGCAATGCCTTTTATGACCTAGTCTTGGAAGTCACACATCATCACATTCACAATATCCCACAGATCATATATCAGCCCTATTCGGTGTGGGAAAAGACTACATAAAGGCATAAATACCCTTCTGTAGGGGAGGATCATTAGGAGTCATTTTTGAGAATGGTTACAAAATTCCACTAAGAAACTTTTTAAAACTGTATAATATATAACCAATAATTTAAACTTTTATATAAATTATAAAATAATAGTTAAGGAGAAACTGAAATTTTAACAACAAATATAGTAAAAATGTATTTACTTGGAGAGAAATATATGGAAATGCTATATTTTTCATTTGGTAGCAGATGCCCAGTCGGTGCACTAAACTTGAATGTGCCATCTTTGAAAAGTTTGCCAGTGCCACTAAGATCCAATGTCCATTGGACCCTTCGTTTTGAAATATTATGAAAGAGAAGTTCCTGCTCACACAAAAATACAAAAGAAGAAATTTATAAAAATTATAATATGCAATATAAATGTCTGTAATACCATAGCAACTTGGTGGGCTTACGTACCAACTAAAAATATTAAACATGGTAATAATAGATAAAATGTCTTAAAATGATGTTAGAGAAACGAGGAGGTATTTAAGTATGTACATAGCCTATTACCAACTATGAAAAACACACAGAGGATAGAGACTGAGGTAAAAAGAAATAAAAATATCTACGCATGCTAGTGAGAACACAGAGTAACATGAATCCTCATTCGCTGATGGACAGAAAGCAAAATTGTACAGCCACTTACTTTGGAAGACCATTTGGCAGTTTATTATAAATATATAGCATATTTTTACACAAATAACTCATGCCTTCTACGTTTGTTTGCCAAGGGCTCCCTTCCCCAGTGCGGTATTTTCGTAAATTAGCATAGCACACTTAAGAAAATACCTCACAGGGGAGGCAGCAGTTGGTAAACAAATGTACAAGGCACGCAGAATTTGTGTAAAAATACGGTACCTACTATATGATCCAGCAATCACATTCCTAGGTCTTCACCTAAGTGAATGGAAAAATTATGTTTACAAAAAAACCTATATTTTTATGTAAATATTTATAGGAGCTTTGTTCATAATTACCAAACATTGGAAGAAAAAAGAGATTTCTTTTCACAGATGAATGGATAAACAAACTAAGGCACATCCACAGAATGACATACAATCCATTGATAAAATAAGTGAGGTTATTAATTCATGTAAACACATGGATGAATCTTAAATATATGTTGCTAACTGAATAATGTCAGACCCCAAAGGCTACATATTGTATTATTAAATTTTTCTGTCATTCTGGAAAAGCAAAATTACAGTGATGGAAAAAAAAAATCAGTGGCTCCCAGGTATTGGTAGAAGAACGAGTAGCTGACTGCAAAAAGGTTACACAAATGCAAATCAAAACCACTCTGAGATACCACCTCACCACCACCAGAATGGCTATGATAGAAAAATAAATAAATAAACTGAAAAAAACAAGTATTGTAGAGGATGTGGAGAAATTCGAACCCTCAGCCATTGCTGGTAGGAATGCAAAATGGTACAGCTGCTGTGGAAAACAGTTCGGTGGTTTCTTGAAAAGTCAAATATAGAACAACCATATGACCCAGTGTGGTGAAATAAATTCTTTTATGTGGCCTTTTGCCTTGGCTATTCGGAAAAACAGCTTGAGAGATTTCTCCCCGCTAAGTCCTGAGGAATTACCTTTGCCCTAGTTTTCTACCCCAGGAGGTTTATTACTTTTTTCCAGGTTGATTGGCATTTACTGGGTGAACTGTAAACAACTTAAAACATAAAAATATGCTTTATATATATATTTTATCTTCATAACAAAGGAATGAAAAGGTATTTTACACTCTTCAAGCCCTGACTGGAAGTTCTATTGAATTTTTATGCTCTGAACGGTTACATTTTAGTTTCAAATAGATCTTTTATTTTTTCCTAAACTATAATTTCATATAGTACTCTCTTATTGTTTTATGGATGCAATGCTAAATATCTTTGCTTATAATTTTTCTTCAAGGAGCCCTGGTAGCACAGTGGTTACACACTCAGCTGCTAATAGAAAGGTCAGTGGTCTGAACTCACCAGCTGCTCCACAGGAGAAAGATGTGGCAGTCGGCTTCCATAAAGATTACAGCCTAGGAAACCATATGGGGCAGTTCTACTCTGCCCTACAGGGTCGCTAGGTGTCAGAGTTGGCTCAACGGCAACGGGGTAATTTTTTTTTCAAAGCTATGGAGGTTCAAAATTGATTTCAGGAATAGCATTATATAAGACAAAAAGTGACAGTTCAAACAAAAATTTCTACAATGCATACATATATTTCCTTCTTTTGCACATCTCCCATTTTTCCTTCTAGATAGATTCCTGATTAGAAGAGAGGTAGAGATATCCAGTTAAAAAAAGATTAAATTAACATATATTACTTTATTATGAAAACAAACGAAAAACCAAACTCGTTGCTGTTAAGTTAATTCACACTCATGGTGACCCATGTGTGTCAGAGTAGAACTGCTCCATAGGGTTTTGTTGGCTATAATCTTTATGGAAGCAGATCACCAGGCTTTTCTTCTATGGTGATGCTGTGTGGGTTTGAACCACCAACCTTAAGTTTAATCGAGTGCAAACTGTGCCACCCAGGAACCTACTTTGTTATAGGTCTGAATATTTTCCGTTATTTATTGCTTCTTACCATATTTATTTACATGTATGGCATATATTTCATATTAATTTAAACCATAGTTTCCATTTGTATAAGAAGAGAAGGATAATTTAATTACATTCAAAATATTTTGAATATTCTTATTAAATATATTTATATAAATGCATGTATAAAACAAAAACTTTATATGTGTTTTTGTTCCTTGAAAATTATGTCAGAGAATATATTCTTTAAAACCAAAAAAAAAACCAAACCCACTGCCGTTGAGCTGATCCTGACTCACAGCAAAAGATGCCAGTATTCTTGCTCTAATTAGCATACATTCAAATGTTTGGGGAGAAATTAATCATAGGAAATAGTTCAAACTATACACGCTTCAGAAAAATCAACTCAGTAAACTAAAAACCATTATCAGAAAACAGTTGCAATATGTAACATTTCTCTATACATACCTGAACTCTTGTGACTTTCTTACAATGCTCCATATCATGTAAAGGAATTTCAAACACAAACTTAGTACTGGATAATCTCAATGGTGCTTGCAATACTATGAGAGTAAAGTAAATATACTGGTGAATATTAATTGATATCAAGTCACAGATATTTCTTAATATGCTTTTCAATATGAAACAGTAAAAAATAAGATTTGTTTCTATTTTTGTATCTCCAAACAAAAAATAAAATTACTTTTTAAAATATTTTCAGAATATCTTGTTTCACCACATCCACAAAGTTCCAAATTTTTTGGGTTTTAATGGTAAGTAATTACAAGCAAAATAGGAAAATTACTCTTGAGATGATAAAATAGATAAATATACTTAATACTGATATGAAAAAAAAGAGTTAAAATGATCTCCACACTGGGTCTTCTCAAAATAATGTCATGTTCATGGAATTTTAGTTTGACCAATCTAGAAGAACAGAAGTGAACAGTAATATAGAAGAAAAAATTACGAGAATAAAGGGAAAATGTATCATATAAAATTGATGGTATATCATAGAAAATTTCCTACATGTAACAACAAAGCTACAGGAGGGAAATGGCTATTCTGTGGAGGATTAGGAATAAAGATAACTCTAAAAATGCATGCTGCCATAGAGCAGATATTATTATCTACCAGAAAAACTGATACTGTTTAAAACTTAACTATGAGATATATGTAATACTTAATGAAAACTTAAGGGACTCATAAACTTCTGGGATTATGACACGTACATGCAAAGAAACCAATTTCTAATCTGACAAAAAATCACGTATCTTACGAGTGCATTTATTATGTTACTAGAATTACGGATGATTTGGCAGAGGGTGGGGAATGTGACATAGGAGTAAGGTGTGGATGGTGTTCATCATTGTGTCACTCCCTACATCTCTCATGAGAGAAATACTAGAAAAGATAATCTTATGGCACATATACAGAAGGTGACACTTATAAAATGGCCTGCCCATTTACAAATTGTCAACTGGGAAATAACCAGTGAAAATAATAGTGTGGTTATATCTTTTATAATGAAAGCTTTGGTTTGACATTTTACTTCACTATTTAGAGAGCCTTATTTCACTTAAACAAAGAAGTTATTTCCCCCTAAGACAGAATACTGGAGAATTATTTTCTGGGAAAGTGAAACTATCCTAGATTAAGGAGCCATACACTAACATTTGGGAGCCCCTTCCCCAATTAAAAAATCCAATGGTATCCCAATTTCCTAGCAATGAGACAAAACTTAGTACTG